CTGGAAATTGTGCCCAATCACAAAGCTCTACAAGAAGGGACAAGTAAGGAATGAGATTACAAATCATCACAGGCTTCCTGAGAGGAAGTACTTTAAGTCTGATGCTGGTGACCATGTGGGTTGACAGACAAGGGTGAGAGCAACCAGGCAAGTGTCACAGTAGGTAGACATGCCCAATTTCCCCCTCTGTGAAATGTCCTAGAACATAAGTCAGGGAGAGGTGGGTAGGACATGTCATCAAGTGTGGCTAATCTCCATCTCAGAAACAGTGATGAGCCACCACCTGCATGCAGAAAAGCCTAAGCGTTTCCCCACAGTCAGTTCTGAGATGCAACCAACAACATGTTGGCAGTTTGGGATCACTTGAAGCACAAGTATTTACACCATAGGAATGGGCAAACACCAACATGAGGACTCTGTTCTCCCCACCCCCCACCACTGCCATGGTCACCCACTGGCTAGTCAAAACCTGTTTACCAGCTCACCTGGAAGATGGGCACTGGGTACTAATGGGAAAATGGCGATAGCTGCTTGTGAGGAAGGCTGACTACACTTGCAGAGAACGAATAGGTAACGAGTAAGAGAGAGCAGCAGAGACAACGGCAAGAAACAGCTATGACCATCAACAAGGGCCAGGTGTCACCCAGGACCCCAAGTCATTCCGTTTGTATCTTTAGGAGAAAGCAGAGTTGCTTACAGTACCTAGGTCTCTAATTAAGATACTAAACATCTGGTTATTGGGCCTGGAGAGATGGTTCAGAGGTTAGGGGCACCTGTTGCACTAACAGAGACATAGGTTTGATTCCCAGCATCACACAACCATCTGACATTCCCAAGCACTCATTTAGTGCATATTCATACACATAAAGTAAATCTTTAAAAAACCTCGTTTCGCTTTTGCATTATTGTTAAACTAAAATGATCGTACTTTTGCTATTTGGTCAATCTTATTTCTGTGTTCTTGGAGCAGGCCCAAAATGGCGCTTACAGAATTTTGGCCCAGCTGGTAGACACTCCTACCTTTCACTTCAGAATTAGAATATTGATGACATCTTTTTTTTTTTTTTTTTTTTTTTTTTTTTTTTTTTTTTTTAACACAGGGTTTTTTTTTTTTTTTGGTTTTTCAAGACAGGGTTTCTTTGTGTAGCTTTGGAGCCTATCCTGGCACTGTCACTCGCTCTGGAGACCAGGCTGGCCTTGAAATCACAGAGATCTGCCTGCCTCTGCCTCCCGAGTGCTGGGATTAAAGGCGTGCACCACCAATGCCCGGCTGATGACCTCTTTATAATCCATCTCCATGCAAGGAGCCAGATCCCGCCTCCTGGCACCGTTCCCTGCCAAGCTATGTAGACTCACCCTTCACTGGTGGCTGAACTTCATAGACTTGTCACTGTGAGACAACCTTGAACCTACAGCTTTCATGATCTCTCCACTCAATGCTTTTTTTTCTCCACCCCAATTCTCGCCCATCCTCTACGTAGTTAGCAAGGATTGACAGTGGGAGCCGTCTCTGCTTTCTCTACCTGTTTCACTTACAGGTGATCACTCAACTCCACATCTTCAATGCGCATCCCCAGCTGTCATCTACTGCCACAAACTAAGTTCTCAACATTTTCCTCCAGGTTCTAGCAGAACATCCGTATTGTCTCAGGTTTGTACCTTTATCTTCACCAGCCTTCAATGCATGTTTGATATTGCAGTCCATTTAAAACCACGTATGTGGTCCTGTCCCCTCCTTATTCTAATCAAAAGTTGCTAAGAATTTCCATGACAAATTTCATGCTCTTCACTTCAGCCCACAAGGCCTCATGACAAGGAACTTTTAGGACTTTCCCAGACCCCAGCCCTTTGGGTGACCAGAGTAGTCTTTGCATATCCTGTTTCTATAGCCTGGAATTTCACCTATCTCCTCTAACTGGCCCACTCTATAACCTGGCTATTCTGTCTCATCTCTTGGAGTTCAACTCCAAATCAACTCCGGAAAGGAAGTCTACCAGGGCACAAAGTCAATGCAGACAGTCTCCCTCCTCTCTCCTCCATTTACTCCAGTGGAGCCATTTCTCCAGCCCCTTCCAAAGACTTCTTAAAATGCACCACCAACACCCACAGATGCAGGATCAACCAAATGTGGAGTCTGCATACCGTGGACTATTAAAGAGGAAAAACGTTCTGACAAAAAAAAACACAACTTGGATGACCCTTGAGGACATTATGCTTATGTGAAAAGCCATTCCCAGCAGGAAATACTCTGTGGCCCCTCTGTGAAGCATGAGTAGACTAGGAGCCATTCACAGCAGGAAATACTGTGTGGTCCCCACTGTTAAGCATTACTAGACTAGGCAAATTCATGGAGGCAGGAAGAGAAATGGCAGTGCATCTGGGGAGGTTTTCATGGGACCAGAATTTCTCTTTTGTGAGGTAAAAACTTCTGGAGATTGGTTGCATAGAGGTGTAAAATCCTTCACACTCTTAACTCCAAACTGGTTGCTATGATGCATCC